AATCCATCAAATCTACTATTAGTTCTCGCACATTTCGTTTTGAATGCAAATGTCTGATAATTAATAACAATTATATAATTATGGGGTAGCATAAGTTGCTTTTCTCATGATGAGTCCAAAGGTATTCTACAATTTTCATTCTTTATTACCTTTAATAAAAGTAAACTGTTCTGCGGCAGAATTATTAACGTTTTTAACTAAGAAGGAAATAACTGATATTATTGCATTAAAGTTGTTTACCAAAATGATAAATGAAATATAAATAAATATTCAGATAAAAGTTAATATTAAGAAAAGTGATTATTTATATTTAATTAAAAATAAAAACAAATCAAAATGAGATTTAATTAAATTCTGAAATGAAAAACGAAAAAAAATTATTTTTAGAAACCTTCAGTAAACATTTGTTTTTTTAAATGTCGTTATCATCTGATTTAATTATTAAAAGATTAGGTCATCACCTTTAATTAATTATAACAAAAAGAAAATTAAATATTTTATTAAATAATCTAGATAACAAAATACATTGTACAAAATACGCTTACAAGGAAAACTTATTTGAGTTTGTAATTGTATTGTTCGAGGGCTTTATCAGAGTAATTTGATTTTGGCTGAAATTTATTTTCGCATTTCAATTTTGCGTGATTGTATATACTTATACATAAATATATATACTTACATATATATATTTTATTCAAAACCAAAAGAAATGTACTTAAAGAATTTTTTCATTTAGAATTTGAGATTCTGTGAAAGATTCATTTCTGCATTTTATAAAAATTTTCTTTAATTAAAAAAGAGTTAACTTTCACAATGAGTAAAGAATATTTTGGCGAATTTTAAAAAATTTGTCGAACAGAAAACTTGAAAAAAAAAAACAAGTATTGCATATTCTCTAACCCGTTGTTCAAGAAACTTTTAAGAACTTTCGTTATACAAAAGTAATCAATTAAAGTTAAAAATTCTCTTAAATCAATAAAAAATCTCCTAATGAACAGTTGAGCTTCCCAATTACAATACTCTTAAATACAATTCAATCTTGGATTATATTCAAGAGAATTGTGTTTACGATTCAACGATTGGTAACAGTAACGATTTAAAACATGATTTTTATTAATTGATAGGGTTTCAGAATTGCACCTACGGCGTATCAGACAAATTGTATCATCTTCTAAAACGTCAGCAAAAAAATTTGACGATGTGTTATGTTCAGAATTTATTTCATGTAGTGACTGGGACGTTGTTATCACTAAAATATCTGTCAAATCGAATATCCAAAATATTTTCACTGTTTATGTTTTTTTTTTCGGTTGGTTTCAGTGCATTTATTAATGTTGTTGGCTAATGCGAAATTTTCAAAAGTTAAAAAGGATAAATCTAAATACTTATACTAAGTCATATTTTCTGAAATACGTACAAATTTTTAAATTAAAATAAATTAAAACAATGCTAAAGAAAGCAATTGAATTAAATAATGCAATGCATTAAAATTTTTAAGTTCTTAAATGTCAAATTATGCAGTATGTCAAAAATAAAAGTTGACATGTGTATCAAAAATTATATAGATAAGTATTTCATTTTTTGCGATTAAGTATAACAAAATCATACAACTTTTATATGATAATTCCGAAAAACAAACACAATACGAGAGAGAGAGGTAGAAAGAGTAAAAGAGAGAAAAACTAAGTACACTCTTCTTGAAACTGTTCAGAAAATTTTTTTTTCTTTTATTTGTTTATTGATTTGGAGATTGGAATTGTGTAAATACATTCCATAGCAAAGTCTTGAAAAATTCGAGTCTTTCTTTATTTCCTGGGGCTTTGATCATGTCAGAGTTATTTAAATATGTCGTGGATTAATACAATTTTCAGTGCATGCTTTATTCAACTATCTGGATCCTATTTCTAAATTATCAATCTTTGGAATTTCGTTCACGAATATCCTACCAAACACAATTCGTTTTAGAGTAATACCAATATCAAAAATCTTTTGCGAACCTGTCTAATGTACATAAGTAATGTATATTGGAGCTTGTATATATGTATATCAAATGTAAAGTTTAACCCTAATATTTGCTTTAATAATAAATTAAAAGAATATTTATATTACTAAGTGTAGACAGCAATACGATAATTAATTGAGACTAATGCAGAATAATTTTAAAAAATTTTCAGGATATAAAATTAAATACATTTATAGTTATAAGTAATACATATATGTATACGTATAATAGTGATATTAGAATGAACCGGGAATGTTTTTAGTTTCAGATTCTTCTCTCAACCAAATTTGAATAATTCCCAAAGTTAAAAAATCTTCAATGCAGTTATTTATACATAAGTATGTTATATTTAGTGTTTAATAATACTTCAATTAATTTTTAATTTATGAATAAGTAATAATTACTTTATAATTGTAATTTGGAATTTTGTTATTTTCATAAAAGACACCTAAATTTTCTTTATTCAACTTATATTCAGAAATTATATTGAGACACTGAATTTATGTAGCCAAAATAAGTATTGTTTATGTATAGCAAATATTCATACCATGTTGTAATTCAGCTATAAAAAATTAAAGAGACGTTTAATGAGAAGAAGCGGAAATAAAACTCGTCCTTAGCCTTTTAATTTCTGAAATTTGATGTGAGACTTAAAAAAAACTTAATATAATTTTTTTCTTAAGAACAATGCACAGCATTCAATACTTAATAAATGAGAACGAAGTTTGAGTGTAGGGATTTTTTTATTTGGATGTTTTATTGATTTTGGAAATATTATTTCTTTATTCATGCCTTAGTTATTTGTTATACTTTTTTTAGCACATGTATAAGCATATAAGTATGTAACTTAGAACACAAAATATAATATGGAAATAAAAATTACAAAGACCAGGTAGGCAAGTATTAAAATTTTGTCTAATTTTATTTAGGTTTTACTATATAGAGACATTCAAATTACAAAATTTCTTCGAAAGGCTCTGTTAAACTCTAAATTTAAGAATGCCAAAGAAGTTATTCATTTACATTTGTATATACATATATGTATGTATATTCAATTTAGAAAAAATTATTGCTTTTTAAATCCAGTTTTAATAAACATATTCTAATTTTGAATTCAACAAGGATTAAAAATGCAAGTATAGGCGATACTATATTCTACATACGTATGTATATATGTAAGTACCAATAAATTATATTTTGTTTTCGTATGAAGAAATTGCAATATATGTATATGTATGTATGATATGTGTAGAAGGATTTCTTTAATAAACTCACATTAATATCAATTTTTCACGATTAAAATCAAAACGATTTGTGTTTTGATACATACATTATACATATATATATATATATATGTTTATGCATAAATACGAGTATATATGTATGCATGTAAAATTAAAAGAAATCGTATGGAAATTGAATTTATTAGTTTTGAATTTTCATTTTGCATTACACACATGGTGAATGCTTTTTTATTACTTTTATATAGAAGCTTTTAACGCCTTAAATGTATAAATCTGTATAGTTTTCTTAATATGTATACATATACATATGTATGTGCATATAATATGTTATACCCGTTCCATATGAATTTATATATGTATATATAAGTAAACAGATAAATAAATGAACGTAGTTATTTTTGGATTAACGTCATTTGGAAAATTAATTTAGTTGTACATGCTAGTGAATTTATTCATGCATATACACAAATATTATAAGCAGCTATTGAAAAAGATTTAAATGAAATATGGTAAATTGAAACAAAAAACAAAAAATAAATACAAATCGTATGATAAATAGAATTTTCAGAAATATTCAGAATTAGATTTTATATTTAATTTTATACTATAGTGTTAAAAACATATAAGTACATTTAACTATAGTTATACATATACGTATATATATACATGTATGCAAATTAGCTATATAATACTTTTTTGGAAATACAAATTTGTACTCAAGTATTCAAAACTAACATATTAAAAACCAAATGAATACTTGCTATGGTTTTAAAATAAATATTTAAGTACACATAACGTATAGTTGTATATATATATGTATATGCAATTGAATATTGTGTGTAATGCATGTTTAATATAACTTTGACGCATAAAGATTTAATTTGGATATAAAAACGGGCTGATCTTCCAATGTGGTGGAATTTTATAAATAAAATTAATTTTTAGATAAATTTAAAAATAGAATTATCGAAAGTGTAAAAAGAACAAATTTATTTATTTTAATAATTCAAAATTTTCAATAAAATATGAATGCAACCAACATGAATGGGAAAAGAGTATCTACTTTATAAGGATATTAGAGTCATCATACTATTAAAGCTAGAAATATTATCAACCAAAATATTGTTAGATTAAAATTTAATTTAAGTCAGTTAAAATTATTTAGAGAAAATTTCCAAAAATATTAACTTTTCAGTATGGTAACACAAGAACTTTAATCACTTATTTTTTTATTTTAGTTTTCAAACCAAAATTTCTTAATTTACACAATAAAGATTTGATGGTATACATTGAATTCCTATTATTTAACAACCGTAGTGAAAATTATGTGTTCTAATGGACTTTAGAAAATTTCTCTGAAACTCTTTTCTAAAAAACTCTGTTTCTCATAATTAAATTAAAACATATTGGGTACCTATAAGACAAATTAGGAATTGTAAATTATTTATAATACGTTACACTTGTAATATATCGCAAAGATATATTTGAGAACAGAAATTTATTCGTTTTTTGCAAATACTACACATATTTTCATAAGCAAGTAATAAATTAAAAATATTAAGGACAAGCGAGAAGGTCAGCACGAAAATCGGTTTTGGGAATCATTACAGAACCCCAAATATTACAAATATATTTTTTATTTTAAAATTCAATCATCTTTTAAAACCCCAGTTTGATATTAACTAAGTATTATGTTAAAGGATTAAAATTAACTTTGTTTGCATTTAATACAAAAATAAAATAAAAATACTTACATTTCTAAACGGTCACCTAATGATGATGACAAGTCCTTTTGCAGTGGTTGAAATAAATCAGTTACTTGTAACACTTTACTATATCCGGTCTTAAAAACATTTATTGTCCATCCAAATAATAATACTGAAACGATATTAGCCTTGTCCTTTGGATTTGGTGGCAGTGTTCTTACAGATGATTCCATTTTCTTTTCTTAATTTTTTTGTTTTATATATTTTTTAAATATTGTTGATATTTTCTCTCATTAAAATATTAAATTATTTTTTACACATAAATATATATGTATACATATGTAGGCATATGCGATGTAAGTTGAAATGTGCTTCTTCATTTAATTTCTTTTAATTACAATTCTTTTTTTTTTGTTGTAAATATTTAAAATTACAATTTTTTTTCTTTATTCTTAAAAACTTTTGTATATACAAGTAATAAATTTTGTGATAGCGCTTTTTAATTTAATTTCCTTTTTACTATTAAAACACATTAAATACAAACTATAATTCGGGCGCGAACTGAAAATAAAATTACATGTTAAGTTTTTCTTTTTTATGATTTTGTTTTTGTTTCCTTAGGAAACACGCAAAACTTTTTGTTATTAAAAGGAATAAAATAAAATATTAAAGAATGTTATAATAATAATAATATCGTGTATAACAGTTTATTACACTGTCATTTATTTATTTTTTTTTTATAATAAAATAAAAAAAAAATTTCAATTCAATTTTTGTATTTTATTTTTTTGGTTTGGTTTGGTTAACACCTCGTTCACTTCACTTCGAATAAATTGAAATTTGAATTTGAATTCCATTTTTATATAAATAGGCTATGCATGTATGTATGTATGTAAGTACAATTGTATATATCTCTGTTTATATAATAATATTAAGGTATTCCCTGTCTACCATAAAATCTTAAATTTCATTTTCTTTCTAAAGGTACACATATAATGTGAAGCTCTCGCTATTACACTTTATATGCCACCACACATATGTATGTAAATAAACATACATAATGTATTATACTTATACATAGTGCACAAATATTATTAGAAGAATAAAAAGAACAAAGAAAAGAAAAAGATCACGCAGTTTTTGCAAATAAATTCTCGTTAGTTCACATTTATAGATTTATAATACCATACTGTATATATACACACAAACATGACACAGGCTGCAATAAAAGTATAATATGTAAAATGAAGAAAACAACAGAATACAAAGAAAAAAAAAACGATAAGAGAACAGGAAAAAATTTTCTTCTCAATTCAATTTTGCCGTTTTGAAGGATTCACATTTCGCGGAGTTTTCATGTACAGCTATTTATATTCTCGCTGTATATAGATTTGCATATAAATGAATAATAAATGTTTATATGTGCAGTAGATGTGCGTACTTTTATGTTGTATACAATGTGATCGTTATCTTTATCATCTTTTTAGTAGTACTTTACATATGGTAAATTCATATTAAAATAAAGATTTATACGTGATAGAGGTTAATATTGAGTAAGGATTGCAAGTTACAGAATTTTTAGGAGAAAATGAAAAAAAATATTAGTTATATAAAATTGTTAAAATTAGAAAGTTTCATTCATTTTCCAAAATTTAATTTTTAAAAGATTTTTAAATCGTTCGTTTGAATGTGTTAATCTATACAAAAATGTGTAAAGTGCCGCGGATTAAACCAAATTTTCTGAAAATTTGAAGTGAAAATAAAAAACAAAATAGAATTAGATACCTTATTACCAAAATTTAACTAGATCAGGGATGATTAGAGTTCTTGATGGTTAAAACTTGAAATTTTCCCAGAGTTGCTATTAAAAAGGTATTAAAAAATTTGTTTACTTATACAAAATTTAAATTAATTTTGCAAATTAAATTCGTAGGAAGAGTGATACAAATAGTTTTCTTTACAATATCAAGTATTCATTGAAAGTTTAAAAATTCAAAATCTGCCTGAGTTGGATCGATTAATGAGGTTTTTCGACACTGTCTATCTTTATTTGCTCAGAGTAATTTTTTTAGTAAATATTTTAAAATACATACGGAACGATAATCATTTTTTAAAATTTATATGCCGGCGCAGCTTGGCTTCTTTTAAAAAAGATATTTCTGCGCCAATAACTTTCCATTAACACAAAACGAATAACATAAAACGTAACATAAAACGAATTTATTTAAACCCAAGCTATTTTAGCAAGAAAATCGTAGTTGAAAATTTTTCTAATGCTAAGCATATCTTTCCGAATGACTACTTTTAAACATTTAAAGTCGAGCGTAACTAAAGAATTAATTCTAAAAAGAAATATGTAATTCAGGATCTTAAAACTCATTTCAACCAATAAACATTCTTGAAATATTTTTTCAATTGAGTTGTGTCATTCCATACGTGGAGAACTCATAATTCCAATATTGTTCATGCTAAAAATACATTTTTTTATTGAATGAATATAATAAACAAAAAATCTCAATTTATTTTTAAATATAGGCACTTTAATTTCTATATTTAGCAGAGGATTTTTATTTCTCGCAAGGAATTTCTAATTAAATTGTAATTATATATCCTTGTTAGTGAAACTTGAGGGCGTATAGATTTAAATAACCACTGTTTTCACACGAATTATCAAGATATCTTTTGATTTAATGAGTGCTTTTTTCTAATTCGCCAACATCTTTTAATGATCCACCAAATCCCAAAAAACAAAATTGTTTTTTCTTTTATTGACAAACCCACGTATTTCATTTTATCAAAAATTGAAAATTGATTTATTTTTATATTCTCATTTTATTCTATTTTTATTTTTTTTTCCTTTTATTTTCTTTTCCATTTTTCAACCTTTTTTATATTTTTTTTTAGAACGCATAAATTAATTGAAATTTTTTTGACATCCTTCAATATTTTTTGTATTACGTATTCTTTTACTTTGTTCCGATGATACACAAAGTCTTCTTGCATTGTAAGAAACGTAGTATAGTCGTCACTAGTGTTATATATATATCGCAACCAAGAAAATATTTTAGCAAGCAAATTTTACTATAAAAATAAAAATTTATTTAATATTTTTAATTTAATGACATGAGACAAATCTTGTAAGGATTATATCGAAGTGTAAAATTTTAACTTAATGTTATAAATTTACCTGAAAGAGGTAGTCACAAAAACAAGAAAAAAAAAATAGGATAAAATTGGATTCTTTTAATAATCCAAGATAAAATTGGCTAAAATGTAAGTTGAGTTCATCGACTGCTAACTAATTAGGGGGGACATTTGAATTGATAACTTACTTAATTATTCATAAAGTGAAAAATTTGTAATTTAAAATTACAAATAAGGAAATATTTACGATTTAAGTATACCAATATTTTTTCTTAAGATTATTAAAATTAGACACATTGGGAAGTTATTGGGTTTACAATGTGTTTCAAGGCTGCTCAAATTGAAATATGAATTGGCTCTAATTCAGAAAAAATTTTCATTAATGGTTTTATGTTTCGAAAAATTTCATATAATATTCCCGTATACGTGTGTTTTCTCGACTTCTATTTGCTCAATTTAAATTTAGAATACTTATAAACTTACTAACAAAATGATTATTTTTGCAAAATCCAACATTTTAACAAAGATGTCGATGAAAATGATTTGTTGGTTGGTTAAAGTGCGTCAGGTGCTGTTTGCTGATTAACGCCTAAATTAACATTATCGAAGCCGTTTTGCTATCATTTCACTATTTTATAAAATCCGTTTGTTATTGTTTATCAAATTTCGCTTGCCTCATAAATAAATTATTAAAAATTGTCTCTTTAAAAATTCTTTCCAATTCAATTGACTTCCCCAAACGAGTATCTTCCGGGTACAGACAACTATGACATTTCGATCCACATTTGGTTAATTTTTTATTTTTAAAAGAATATGATTTTTTCCAAAAAAAGTGAGTCGAATTCATTTATCATCTACTTAATATTTTAAAATTTTTATGGCCATTTTATTGTGAAGATACACAAAGGTGCTAAGATAAGGATAATAAAATTACGAGTATTACAGGTAGTTTGTTCTACGAAAAATAATTTATCTTACTAATCTCGATCTATGAATTCTTTTATTTTTTTATTAAAATCATCAAGAAATCATTCCACTTATCTTAAGCACTTTCATTTTGAGTGTAGAAACTCGTTTAATTGTAAACCTAACACGTTTGTATAAATGTGGTTAAAACAATTTTAATTAAGATTTCATAAGGATATTAAAAGGCGCTAAAAATAAAGATAACATTATGTTAATACATGAGCGTTTTAAAGCTGGTTTTAAAACTTAAGATAAATTAATACAAATAATACAAAGTTTTTTTTTTATTTTGTAATTTTTTTTTGAAATGTATCGATTTATAAAATACGATTAAAGTATTAGACAATTGACTTCTTCTTTAATTGACGCATTTAACTCTTAATTGCTAAATAGCAAAAAACTATAATAAATCGAGTTTTCTATTTCAGATGAATTCCAGTTTACAGATAATCTAAATCTAAAACATTCTTTTTTATTAGCACTTTTCCAAAACAAATTTTATAAAGATTTTAGTTTTTTAGAATTTAGTTTATCTTATTAGTTTCACTCTTTCCGTCTGTCCGTCCGTAAACATTCTTCACTTCAAAACTTCAACATCCTTCAAGACAGAAAGCTGAAATTTTATATATAAATAGATCTTTACTAGAAACTTATTACCGTAGAAAAAAATTCTTATTTCCACCCCTGTAAAAGTTATAGCCCGTTAAAATCTTAAAAATGATATGTTTTGACTATTTACGAGCTTTCTCTATCGCGTCACTTGTTTTCAAAAACCAAAATGGCCCTTAAAATTCACTGTTATGTAAAATTTGTTTTTTCCAAATTTTTTATATCCTTTTGCTTTTAGACCGCAAGTTGTAGGAGTCTGAAATTTTAATAGTTTTTAGAGCTTATAAAAATTTTTTTCCACCTCCACCCACTCTCGAGTTATCATCCCTCGAAACTTCTAAAATTTGAATTTTTGGCACCTTATATTTCCGAAACTGCAAGCTTTTCCAAATTTCTGTAAATGTCTAACGATAAATTCTATGCCATTGAAAAATATAATTATTTTTTTATGTCACGCAATTAACTCTTAAATTACAATAATGTCAATAAGGTAAGTGTCCCTATTACTGACATATTTCGCAACAAATTCAACTTTGGCGTGATATATTTTATATGTGGGACACAATAAATGATCGTGTTTCCGATTTTTTGAATAATTTGGATAATTGAGAATAATGTTTTTAATAAAATTATTTAATCAAAATATTTTTTAATTCATAATTTTTCGATTAAAGATGAAAAGAAAAAATGTTCCTAATATTGACATATCCGCAAATGTTTGTGTCTATTGCTGACAGTTTGTGTTCCTAACACTGACAATGTAATTTCATATGCTGTATCTATATTCTATATATGAATAATGGTTAAAATGGTTAAAATGATAATATTCAATAAAAATAGAA